CTTTTTGCTAATTTGATAGTATTCTTTGATGTACAAAAGTTTTTGATTTTGATGTACAGTTAAGTTCTGATTGAGATCTTTATTCTTTTTTCATGCATTGCATTTACACCTGCAAACCTGTCTCTTAAAACTGTTATCTCATGTCGATCCATTGCATTTGCCTTTTTCTTAAGATATTTTCTTCTATTCCTTTTTTTTTTTAATAGGGTTTTGCTATGCTGCCCAGGCTGTTCTTGAACTTGTGATCCTCCTACCTCAGCCTCCTGAGTAGTTAGGATTACAGGCATAAGCCACTCACCTGGATTCAAGGTGTTATCTTATTTCTTTTGTGATTTATTCTTCCACATTAATTATTTACAAATATGTTGTTTTCAGCTGGGCGCCCATGGCTCACACCTAGGTACTCAGGAGGCAAAGATCAGGAGGACTGTAGTTCAAGGTCCACTCAGGCAAATAATTCAAGAGACTCTACCTTGAAAATAGCCAACACACACACACAAAGAAGTCTGATGGAGTGGCTCAGATGTTAGAGCACCTTCCTAGCAAGTGTGAGGCCCTGAGCTTAAGCCTCAGTGCTAAAAAAAAAAGGGGGGGGATATGTTGTGTAATTTCCACATATTTGTGAATTTTCCTTCTTTATTCAAGTTCATTCCAATGTGGTTGGGAAAATATTATATGTTATTTCAATCTTTTTAAATTTATTAAGTCTTGTTCTGTGGCAACTTGACTTTCGATAGCAGACCAGGAGAATGTGAATATGAAATTCATGTTGTATTGGGATAAAGACTGGGAGGACAAAGAGGCATTCCGTGAGATGAGAGCTTTGCTAGGGAGGTAGTGTGAATGATAAGATGATGGGGTGGGGAGAGAGATGAGCCTATTCATCTACTGTGGAGAACAAGCAGATCAAATATAGGAAAGAAAGGTAATAGGTGGCCCTCTAAGAGATGGGATAGGCCCAGTTTTTATTCTGTAACCTAGTGAGCAGGGTTACTTGGACTAGGAGGTTGTCCATCAGGATAAAGGAGAATCCAGTAGTGCCTGGCACATAGGAGAACCTTAGCATGGACACTAATGTGTGGTTTCTATTCTACTTTGTCTTTCACATAGAAATTGAATTTTTAGTTAGGCACATATTTGTGTTGTGAAACACTACATTTCCCAGACTCCCTTGCTATAACTGTTTGATTCTGACCATTGGGATGTGAGTAGAAATGATGGTGCAACTTCAAGGTCAAGGTTAAAGAGAAGGCTCATGTCTTCTTCCCCGCCCCCCATTTCTGGAGGTTGACCCCATGGCCTTGTTCATGCTAGGCTTGTACTCTACCACTTAGCCACATTCCTGCCTTTGGTGTCTTTGAGACAGGATCTTGCTGTGTCACTCAAACTGGCCTTGAGCTCACTATGTTGCCCCAGCTGTCCTCCTACTCCTGATCCTCCTGCCTCAGTCTCCAAATGTTGGGATTACCAGTGTGTACCACCACACCTGGCTCCTTTTCTCCTCGCTGGTACAAATCTGATCCTTGTGGGGAGTGTGAGTAACCATATCATATCATAAGAAGCTGGTGGAGGGGTGGCAGGCAACACCATAGAAAATTGGGTCTTTCATGGGTACAAAGCCAGCTTGCCTACTGAATGATGGTTAGATTTTATGTGAGAAAAGGGGACTTCTATTTTCTCTTACCCACTATTATTTTGAGCCTCTGTTACTGAGGCTAAACTAACATTGTAAGTAATACAACAGTTAATCATTACTTGGGCAGCTCCAAAGGTTCAGCTAGGTTGCAGACCATGCCTGCATCTTGGCTCCAGAGACCACTGGGTGATTGCTTCCTCATTAGCAATGGGGAAGGAAGAGGTAGATTTGACCCTACTTTGTGGGTTTAAATTTCAGGTGGGACAAAAGGCAAGGCAAGTAGGGAGCAAAAGGGTTGGAAACCAAGTTACTGAAATGATCGACCGTGGGCTGAAGAAAAGAAAAGAAAGGTCATGGGAGTGAAGAAAGTGAGAGCCAGTAGGTCAGGGTTGTCACTCAGCACCATTCTAAAATGAAGAACGCTGGTGTGAAATAATGGCTGCTACTCAGGAGGCAGAGGCAGGAGAGTCAAGAGTTCAAGGGCAGCCTGGGCACAGTGAGACCCTATCTCAAAAACAAAAAGTTTAGGAGCACAACTCAGCAGGTAGAGCACTTACCCACCATGTGTGAGGCCCTGGGTTCAGTCTTCAGTAACACACACGCACACACAGAGACATACACGACTCGGTTTCAGATAAAATAAGGAGACATTCTGAGCCAAATATGAGCGACGGGGAGCACGGATTCAAGTAACCCTGAACGACATGTTCCACAGCGGAAGAGGGTACGTGAACTTTTAGACTCACAGAACAGAAGAAGGCCACAAATTAATACATACATATTGATGATGGGTATCCGGTAGGCAGGCTACAGCAGGGCAGGGAAATCTCTTTCATAGGTTTCAGAGGTTATAGCATTCTTAGCTTTAGGGTCGGTGGAGGCTAGAGGTCAGCTAATACATTCCAAGAAGTTTGCCTAAGAATCAAGAGAATGTAAAATGGCACCACACCGTTGGCTTCTGAGAAGTGTCACCCATTTGTCAGGGTTCCACACAAGCATTATTGCTTTAGTGATAACTTCCTGGGCTCTCTGGGCTTGCACACTCCATGGGTGTACTTGGCCCAGTACACCTCAGGTTGCAAGTTTTCCAACCAATGAGTAAGCTTGTCAGGACCCTACTTCAAGTCTGTATCCCATGTGTTGTAGGGCGGCAAGTGTTTGTTGAATGGGTGGGAGTATAGTTGTGCCTGAAGTCATGTTGTGGAAACTGACAGAAGATTTTTGCTGGCTGATTGTCTCATCTGAGGTTGTGAGGTGGGATGAAGATTATACAGGCTTTGAAACTTGAAGTCCTCAGTTGGAGTTCCAGTTCTGCTGATTATTTGCTGTGTGTTCTTGGGCAAGTTACTGGGTTTCTTTTAACCTACTGGGCTTTGTTTTGCAGTTCTCAGGAGCAAACTCAGTGTTACCAGTCAGCTGGCTGGGGTCTTTCTGCTCTACCTGATAGGAATCCTTGAGTGTGTAGCAGAAACTTTTCTAGTGCTGGCAGTCCCAGGCTCTTGAGTATTCGAAGCCTTGGGGCTATAATGCAGACTCAGAGGTTCACAGCTCTGGACTCGAGAGCTAAGAGCCCATTGCTCCAGGCTTTAGAAACCAGAGGTTTGTGGCTCTAGGCACTCAGCCTGGAAGCTTACTTGCCACCTGGGCACATGGCCACTTTTATAATTCTTAGCTTCCATCAGTAGTGAGCATCAGCAGCAGGCAGCACCTGCGAATGTTACAGTTCCTAAAAGGGCCTCAGGTGTTGGGATCCTCAGCTATACAGCCGAGGCTAGTGTTACAGCCCTCAGGATAAGGGCCCTTTTAGCAGCTCCCTCAAACTCTTCCAGTGACCAATAGTTTTTAGTCCTTGTGCCACAGATGCTGTTCCTCCTGGTTTCTGTCCCCAGTTTGTCTCTGAAACTCTTTAGCTGCTCTCTCTCTCTGGCCTTTGCTGCTGCTACTGCTCTGCTGACACTTCCACTGCTCCTGTTCATGTTAGCTCAGCCCATCCTACTTATGATAAAAATCACAAGCAGACAAAGTCCACAAGGAGAAGCCTCTTATCAGGCCAATGTTACACCACCAGGGGGCAAGCATGGAAGACTGGGTCCAGGTTGACTCAAAAAGCAATCTGAAGAACTGCTTAATGGAGCCAGAAAAGGTGTGCAGCAAGGGTGTCTGCACCAATCAGGACAGTCATTCCTACAAATGAAAGACTGTGTTTGCACCAGTCACAGGCCTTCTGGTGGTCCACCAGGGGAAGTGTCCTCTCTTTGGCCTAGGTGGAAATGGCTGCTTGTGATGGCAGAAAAGTCCAGAGCAAGCTGTTTGAAACATTCATAGTTGGAATAGTTTCTTCTGGATCCACAAGTTGTGCTTCAGCAGCCAGCAGCTGTGGTTGCCCTGTAGCTTCCTCAAGGCCTCTGTGGAGTGTCTGGCTGGCAGCCAAAGAGGGGCTGATAGGCTGACGGTCCTCCACTCACTGCACCAGGGAAAGGCCTAACAACTGTCAATTAGGGAGTCAAATTACCTCAAGCCCCAGCATCTTAGCTTAAGAGAAAAATATACATAAAAGGAGTGCTTATAATATAGGCCTGCAATTAACATCAACAGTGGTTTAACATTTAACAGTGGTTTACTTTTAGCCAAATACCCTGGGGGAGAGTTGGGCCATTTTATCTATTTCATCAGGACCTCTCACGCATGCTGGTAAAGCACTCCACTACTGAGCTCCGGCCCCAGTCCTGGCCTGTGTTTTTTATCTGCATTAGAATTAAACTGCCCTATAGGACAGTAAAATGTTACTCAGTCAACTTAATTTAACTAGAAAGGAAAGCAAGAAGTGTAGGAAGGGGCTGGAGGTGTGGCTCAAGTGGTAGAGGGCTTGCCTAGCAAGCGTGAAACCCTGAGTTCAAACCCCAGGACTACCACCACCACCAAAAACGAAAAGCAAAACAAAACAAAAAACTAGGGTGGACGTGCACAGAATGCGATCCGTAAAGGCTTGGAAGTCAGAAAACTGGTTTTTAACCAAGTCGGAGTTTAAGCTCTCCAACTTGAGATTCGTAGAAGGGGATGACCTTCAAGCGCGACAGGGAAGAAGAACCCCCTCTGAGGTCTGGGTTCAGCGCCGCAGCTCCACATCAAATCTCGGGCTCTGTTCCTCAGCAACCCCACCACCCCGTCCCGCCCCAGGTCTGGGCCGGAAGCGCCTGCTGCCGGGGAAGTCAGCCAGGTGACACAGCCGGAAGTAGGTGGGTGGAACGCCCCCGGCAGTTGTGATGGACGCAGCCAAAAGCCATTGGGGAACGTAGGCGTTTCCGCGTCCGCCAATGGAGCTCCGGCCGAGGCGGGCCCTGACGAACAGCCTTAGTAACGGCCGCGTGGTAACCCCGGCGCTTTACGCTTGCTGGTTTTCCCAGGCCGGTTTTGGCTCCTGGCCTTAGCAAAATGAAGATTGAGGAGGTGAAGAGCACCACGAAGACGCAGCGCATCGCCTCTCACAGCCACGTGAAGGGGTTGGGACTGGACGAGAGCGGCCTGGCCAAGCAGGCGGCCTCGGGGCTCGTGGGTCAGGAGAACGCGAGAGAGGTGTGGCGGCGCGGGGACGAGCGGCCGTGGGGGCCGCTGGAGCGGGGCTGCGGGCGCGCGCCTGGGGCGTGGAAGGGGGCGACGCGGGGGCCCCGGTGGGGACCGTGTCCCCAGCTCGTACCATTGCTGGTGCAGGCCGCCCCGGGCCAGCCCCTGTCCGCCGTGCGGGGAGTCCCTGCTGACTGGGACTGCAGGCTTTGGTGACGGCAAACACTAGGAGCAAAGCGGACACCTCCGTGGGCCCAGTTTCCGGAGCGCTTTGTCGCCTGGGCGGGGAAGCCGTATTTTATTGTGAACGCAGTTGCAGGCTGTGAGGATTATGAAGTAGGAACTTGGCCGAGCTTAAGAAGCTCGTTTTGGTTCTCGGGGCCTGCGTGATGGAGAGGAGCAGTCTGGTTTATCCACCGTTGTTTTTTTTTTTTTTTTTTTTTTTGGCTGTTCGCATCCAGTCTGCTTTTATAAAGTGGCAACGGTGCCAACTGCTTTTACAGTTACTGTTTTGCAGATGAAAACAGTGAAGGCGGGAAAGATCACCTGCCCCCTTGCCACGTGGACTTGCACTCGCCTGTATTTCTGACCCCCAAGTCGGCGCCCTCGCTGTGATGTGACCCTCGCAGCCTGCTCTGCCCAGCATTTGGGTTCCTGTGGCTTAGCAGCTGCAGAAACCTGCACTTAACGCGGGGTTGAGATGTCGCTTCTTAGCCTTTGGCTGACAGAAAGGGCCAAAGGAAAGCCTCTGGTTTCTACTCCTGAGCATCTTTCCAAAAGGGAACGTTCAGGTGGCTCTGAGGTGCAGTGGCTAACACATTCAACTTCTAGTGAGGAAAGAGCGATTCAAAAGTGATCCGGGCTCACTAAACACCTGTTACTGCAAATGAGTTACATTGGTTGAGTGCTTTTTATTTAGCAAGCAGCTTTATTTCCATTTTTTTGTTCATCTTCCAATCTAATAATTGTCTCTTCCTCTCCACCCCACTTTGGTCTAATGTTTTCTGGATACACAAAAAAAGTTGATAGTAAATCATCTGTGTGTCTCAATTCTGCAATTAACATTTTACTATGTTGCTTTACCATTTGTTTGTCAATTTACCAACCCACTTTTACATTTCAAAGTAAACTGCATACATCAGGACATGTTATCCCTAAACCCTTTATTTAACATGTGTGCCACTAACTGTTCTGAATGTTTGTGTCCAGATGAATAACTGTGGTTCACAGAGGCTAGGTAAGTAGATCTAAGGTCACTCATCTGGGGGTGGCAGTGCCAGGATTGGTACTTCAGTGTTTGACTCCAGAACCCATGCTCTTAACTCTGAACCTGTATGCCACAGACCTGCTCTGCACCAAGCTCTTGTACAGCTCTGATCATATTAGCAGCTGCCCTGGAACTCAGTATCTTCATCTGAAAATTGAGTTAGACTAGGTCATCTTTTAAAGGCCCTTCCAATTCTTTTGAAACGTTAGGATTCATAACATATTTACTGGAGAATAAATGAAAGAGTCCTGGTCTGTAATTAGAAGTACATGTCCTTGATTTGGAAAGTTTCCCTTCAAGTAGGTAGCTTCACTGAGGATTTTAGTGTCACTGGGCATGTGGGAAAACTGTATGCAGCATCTGAATAGTGTCTTCTGGGTTCTGTTAAGGGCACCCTGCTTTGCTAATTAGAGAGAGCTGGAATGCTGAACACCCACACATGCTCTTTGAACACACATGTTTTTGAGGGTGCTGCTATATCTGGAACCAAGGTACTTCACAGTCCATGGTGAATAGTGTAGAAGAGATACCATGTATTCACAAGAACCAGTCAGTGTGGTACAGTGTGGTCACTGTCCAGAGAGAAGAGCTATGGCCTTCCTTTAGGCAAGAAGAGTACACCTTTTAGATAGTCAGGAATTTGATTGTTCAGTGAGTCTAACACATCTTGAATTAGGTAGTCATGGGATGTAGGTGCTCAGAAAGTATGACTTTCTCAGCCTGCTCCTTCACAGTCAAATATTTTATGATGTATGAAGATCAGTGGCTCATTTACCAGAGTTTGGGTGTGTGTGTTTACATGTATATACTGCAAATGGCTTAATAATCAGAATGAATGTAACTAGTAGGTAATCAAGTAATTTAATCATGAGGATTCAAAGGCATTTGGTGTGTCTGATGGTGGTACAGTATCATTGGTCCTTACCCTTGGTGGGTCCTGATGAGAGCTGTGGAACCTCTCCCTGGAAACAGTGTACATAGGAACATGTGCACACCATTTTGTTTTTGTTTCTACTTCAGTAGGTTTTTTGGCCCTGGAGTCTATCCCCGTGCCCTAGACTAAAAGTCACTGTTCCCATTTGTACCCCTAATGTTCCATCTCCAACAGCAGCCAACATCGTCTTTTAAATACAAATCACAGCATAGCACACAGTCTAAGACTCTTCCTGTTACACGTAGAATGCAATCCAAACTTTACAACAGATTGTAAATTCCTGGTCTCCATCTGGCCCCTGCCTAGCTCTTCAACTTCATCTTCCCATTCTTCTTTTCACTATATTTTGGTCCCTGAAAGCTTTCTGTCCTTTAGACATGACAAACTCCTATTTTAGGTATTTTAAATTTGCTGTTTTTGCCTGGAACATAGACTTCTGCCCTGCACAGAGCTTTACAAATCAAACATAATGTCATCAGAAAGACCAACCTGGGTCACTAGCCACTCACTCTCTCTTTACCCTTTTTCTTTCATGGTAAGGATTTGCACTATAAGCACAGGCTTTTCTGTCTTCCTGTGCTGTCTGGCATCTAGAACAGAGCCTGCCCTGCCAGTGCCTGGCATTCAGGGTCAGTTGGATGAGTACATGAATTGTGTGGACCAGGTACTGGACACAAAGCACTTTATACTGACTGATGATCTCTTTCCATTGTGGTGTGTAGGCATGTGGCGTCATAGTAGAATTAATCAAAAGCAAGAAAATGGCTGGAAGAGCCGTTCTGTTGGCAGGACCTCCTGGAACTGGCAAGGTACTCATTTTCTCTTGTTTTAAGCTACCCAAGAGAATGATCCTAATGTCTAAGCCAAATTGAATTCGTGTCTTAACTACTCTTTGTTTAGCTAAATTGGTTATATGTATGTTTTAAAAACTAATGTGCAATAATACAATTGAGTGTCTAAAATTTGTGCTTCTAAAACTAAAATTATCCTGGCCTACCTCCAGAGAAGAGAAAATGAAGTCCTCAGAGGGTCTCATTGTCTCTAGACTTCTTCCTTTATGTCTTTCAAGTCTCCTTTGCTTTGGAAGTACATTTCTGTTAGCCTAGGGTGTCATGAAAATCTTCAGAGTAACGTCTTATTTGAGAATAAAGAAAATGAGTCAGCAAATATTTTTCCAAATACTAGGTTTATCCCTTCCTTGTTTTGGCTATGTGAGAGATGAAAAGAAAAAAGAATTAGAGACAGGATTTTTATCTTCAAGGGTTTTATAGTCTTTTCAGGGCAGAAAATCAGGAAGACATGACAGTACAAAATGAGTACAGTCATAAGTACTTCTAGAAGGAACTTTTTAAACAACGTAGGAAGAAGAGACCTGGATGGAGTGGGAAGGTCTAAAATACAAGAAGCCAAACTTGGAACTAGCAGCTAGAATTTAAGCAGGAGGTGGCACCGAGGGCTGGTGAAGCTGGACAGGTTGAGACTTGGTATTTGCCCTTCAGAGCTGGGAGAGGATTTTTCCTTGCAGGGAAGAAAATGGCCTTCTAGGCAGAGCACATAGTCTGGCTTGTTGGGATGGGGAGTGGATAGAACAGAGACTTGAAACTCACCCCATTACCTAATTTGAGACTTGCTTGCTCTCCACAAGGACCTCTTGGCCCCAGATAGCAGGACCCTGGGCTTCTGTGTGCAAAGAAATGGGCTTTCAATTCTAGCTCTGATGTTGGCTTGTGAGACTGAGGCAGGCTGTTAACCTTTCAGAAGCAGAAGCACACGCTCCACCTATTTCAGGCCATTATTAAATCAGTCAGCTACGAGATAATGACTTTAATTACAATTTTGAAATTTGAACTGTTGAATTGATGGTGTACCTTCTACTGGTGTCCTACAATAGAGGAATTGGTGCCATTCTTAAACAGTGAAGTACTGCACAATGTAAGCTTCACTGATCTCTCCACAAGCTACTTGGTAGGCAAAGATCAGGAGGACTGCAGTTTGAGGCCATCCTGGACAAATAGTTCAGGAGTCCCTCATCTCTAAAATAACCAGAGAAAAATGGACTGGAGGCTTGACTCAACCGGTAGAGTGCTACTTTGCAAGTGTGAAACCCTGAGTTCAACTGGAAAAAAAAAAAAAAAAAGCTGCAAGGGCATTCCCCTACGTTACCATGGTATCATCATTACTCTCTCCAATCAGATGTTTATACAGTATCAGCTACGTGTAGGGAAGGGAGACATAAAGGGGAGCATGGCGAGGCCCAATTGGAAGCCAGAAGCCGAGAGCTATGTGTAGTTTTTTTGTTGTTTGTTTTTGGCAGTACTGGGGAGCTATGTGTAGTTTATACTGAACTTTCTCACAATTTTTTTTTTTTTTTTTTTTTTTTTGTGGTACAGGGGCTTGAACTCAGGGCCTACACCTTGAGTCCAGCCGGTTTTTTGTTAGGTTTTTTTTTTTTTTAATTTATTCACATGTGCATACATTGTTTGGGTCATTTCCACCCCCCCCGCCCCCAACCCTCTCCCACCTACTCCCTGTGTTAGGTATTTTTGAGAGAGGGTCTTGCCAACTATTTGCCTGGGCTGCCTTCGAACTGCAAACCCCCTGATCTCTGCCTCTTGAGGTCAGGATTACAGGCGTGAGCCACCGGCACCAGGCTGTCACAATTTTTAATTAAACAATAAGTTAATAAAAGTTAAAATGTTAGGAGCAGAGCAGGGAGAAGATGGTGTCTCCAGAGCCCGGGAAGGAAAGTCTTTGAAGAGAGTAGTCAGCTTACTCTCTGCAGGAGAGACTGAGCTCATGGTCCATTAACTAAGGCCTTTTCTTTACGGTACTGGGGGTGAGTGAGCCCAGGGCAAGTGCTCTACCACTGAGCTACACCCACCAACCCCTTACTTATTTTATTTGATAAAAGGGTCTTGCTCAGCTGCTCAGGCTGGCCTCCAACTTGTGATCCTCCTGAAGTGCTGGGATCGCAGCTGTTTACTACCGTGTCAGCTACTAATTTTGGGGGTGTGTGTGTGTTTGGTTTGTTTTTCATGGTCTTGGGTATTAAAACCAGGGCCTCATACTTCTAGGCAAGTGCTCTACCACTTGAGCTACACCCCCAGCCCTTTTCTTGTTTGTTTGTATTTGAGATAGCATCTTACTAACTTCACCTCTTGACTTGTGATCCTCCTGCCTCTGCCTCCCATTCAAGGTAGAGTTTTTGTTTTGTTTTGTTTGCCAGGCAGGTGCTCTACTACCTGAGCCATTTCACCAGCCCCCAAAGTAGAGTTTTTTGTGGCCCGTCTTTTCTATTGACCCATCTTCAAGGGTCCTGTTTTCATTCAGGGGTCTCTGTCTTAATGCTGTGCATTGCTGGTAATCACAAACACTTTGTGGAGCCACAGTGCTGGAAGCATAGTCCTTTCTTTTGTGATGTTGAGCCACTTTCCTCCCGGGAAAGGTGAGCAGTGAGCACGTGCTGTCACCTACTCTTTGTGCACGTTTGTCTGCTGCTGTCATGTATTCTAGAATGAGGTGGTTCAGGAGAGCTTCTAATGTGATGATGCCTAGGCCTCTTAACTGAGTGCTTGTCTTAGAGATGCAAATGCCTCTCCTTGTGAATGTTCCTCTCCTGATGACCTCTCACTGTTTTGTTTTGTTTGGAGGTAAACACATTGTATACCAAGCTGGCCTGGAACTCACTATGTAGCCCGGGGTGGCCTGAACTTGTGATCCTCCTGCTTCAGCCTTCTGAGTGCTGGGATTACAGGTATGTGTCACCATGCCTGGCTCTGAGTTTTAGTTTCTTAATCCATAAAACACAAACTAAGCTGGTGCCAGTGGCTCACTCCTGTAATCCCAGCTACTCAGGAGGCAGAGATCAGGAGAATCACAGTTCAAAGCCAGTCCCGAGCAAACAGTTAACAAGGCCCTTTCTTGAAAAAAACCCATCACCAAAAAGGGCTGGTGGAGTAACTCAGATGGTAAGAGCACCTTCTTAGCAAGCGTGAAACCCTGAGTTCAAACTCTAGTGTCACCAAAAGACATAAATAAATGAAAAAGAAAATAAAGTACAAACTAGTTATCAAGCTCATAGTTGGAGGACCAGCACTGAATGGAGGGGTAGGTATGGCTGCCAAGTTAGACATGTCCCTTCTGGGGTCCTCTTTATGAAGACTAGACACACAGTGCACTCCTTCACCAAGTATTTAACATATTTAATGGAAGCATATTGATTGTCTCTTCTACATTAATGGAGGGAGGCAGGGATGCCAGTGTGGGTATGGTCACTGTGTTTAAGTCTGAAACTGAGAATGGAGAACTAGGGCCTGTGTAAATAATGGAAAGAAAAGTGAAGTGACAGGGAAGCTGGCAGACTGGGTGGAAGGTGGCATGGCAGCCAGGGGCCCTCGGGGGTGGCTTGGTGTCAGGGTGCTGCTCTTCTTACTGTGCCCCATTACTTGTCCTTTGCTGTTGGAATAGCTGTTTTAGAGGCAGCTGCTTTGGGCTCACAAACTCAGGTGTGTGCTTAGGCTGGGTGCAGCCTGACTGTGGTGGCTGCTGCCACATGATAATGAGGGCCTGTTGTGGCCAGACCATCCAGGTCCTCAGAGCTGGATTGTTAGATGAAATTTCCCAGTTCAAAAACTGACAGCATTTTTTTTTTTTTTTTTTGGTGGACTTTGGGGTTTGAACTCAGGGCTTTGTGCTTGCAAAGCAAGCACTCTACCACTTGAGCCATACCTCTAGCCCATGAAAACTGAGTTTTAAACACACATGAGAGTCCCTGGGCCAAAACAGAACCAGTCTGTGGGCAACTAGTTTGCTACCTGTGATCTAACCTGCTACTTTAATACTATCACTGAACAGGTGAGGAAATTAGGCACTAGAGATTTGTCTTGTGCCCAAGGTTGCATGGAAAAATATTGGCAGAATTAGGACTAAAGCCAACAGGCCAGTGCCCTACAGGCCAGTACTTTATGTATTACACCGTTATGCTGATTCTCATCCAGATCCTATAGGCTCAAAACTCACCAAATAGGTAGTAAAGAAAATCCAAGGGCTGGGCATGCTTGTTCACACTTGTAATCCCATCAGTTTGGGAGGCAAAGGCAGGGAGATCATGGATTGAGGCTGGACAGGGCAAAAGCTCAAGACCCTATCTGAAAAATAAATAAAGCCCAAAGGGCTGGGGGCATGGCTCAAGTGGTAGAGCACCTGCCTAGCAAGCGAAAGCCAGAGTTCAAACCTCAGTACTGGCAGAATAAAAGAAAGACACCTTTAGTGAGCCAATTTTCAAACACTGTCTCTTGAGTTCACTTTGTTCCAGAATCATGGCTTACTTCCTTCCCCTTACCCGCATCTACCTTGGGAACCGACTTTGTTCATTCTCCTGTTTGAAAGCCGAGGAAAGATGGAAATGGCATTCAAAGGCCATTGCATTTCCAGCCCTGTGCCAACTTTAAAGCTTTCGCCTTTGAGGCTTGACATTTGACCAGACCTCTGTCACATTTGGTTCTGTTTACCATCTGCCTCTTGCAATTAGGTCACCAGATAGCAATTTGTACCTCACTATAGAGCATGTTAGGTGTGACTCGTTAAGTCCAACTCATAGCTTCAAAATTCTGCCTAATGTGTCATTCTTCACAATTTGTGGGTCACTTAACACAGTGAACATCAAGCAATTCATTCTTCCATTACTGATTTCTGATGGGTTGTAGACTGGTGTTTCCTTTGTAAAACATAGAGTGTGGGATCTCAGGAAGCCAGGGTGGTGTTCTGAGCAGGTAGCTCAGACCCTGCTTTGAGATGGAGGGCACAGGCTTGGAAGACTATGCAAACTATGGTGGAACATGAGTCAGATACGGCTGCCATAGTTCCAGGCTCCACTCTGCCTTCTTCTAGACTGGTACCTAGCTATGCTGCTTAATCTCTGTCTCATCTTTGTAACATCTTCTTAGTGTATGAGGGTCTTAGGAAGCACTTAAGTTGACCTGTGCTGAGTAAGACTTTGTGGGTGAATTGGCAGTGTCAATTCATAAAATTCACAAAAGGTACCAGTTACTGTGTGAGACATGCCAAATGATGTTAACTTAAAGGACTAGATATTTACCCATTCCTGGTTACAGTTTTTTTATAGCATGTGTTTCTGAAGTCCATATTCTCAAGACTAAAATTGTTTCCATTCTTGTCCTCTGCAGACAGCTCTAGCTCTGGCTATAGCTCAAGAGCTGGGTAGTAAGGTGCCTTTCTGCCCGATGGTGGGCAGTGAAGTTTACTCAACGGAGATAAAGAAGACTGAGGTGCTGATGGAGAACTTCCGCAGGGCCATCGGTGAGTGTCGTGCTGTAGGGGGACAGCTCCTGAGTAGCTGCCAAGAGGCCTCTATTGCGAAAGTGCTTCTGTGTATTTGTCACCCTGCAAAACACAGTAAAGCCACAGCTTTTCTGAGAAAATGAGGACCCTAGTTATGGAACTAGAGTTCCTCCTGTGATAAAATGGATGTGTTTGAACTAACGCAATGACTCACACCTGAAATCCTAACTAATTGGGAGGCAGAAATCAGGAGAATTGCAGTTTGAAGCCAGCCTGGGCTTGAGGCCCTGGGTTCTACCCCCAGCACTGCCTGCCCACCATAAAAAGCATATCTGTAAAATGGTTTTTTTAATTAAAAAAAAAAGTAGCATTTTCCTGGCAGCTTTCTCTTGTTTTGCTTTTGCTTTTAAGATGATTGTCCACTGAATCGGCTTTTGACTCAAGCCGGAGTCATTGTGCACCATGCTGCCATAATGGCCAGGGACCTCAGGGGTAAGCCAGAGGGGTTGTAGCCTGTTGGAGAGGGAGACACTGGGAGACCGGCAGAGCTCTGAGGCTTGTGGTGCAACCTCTGAGGGTGTGAGGCCATCATAGAGAATGTCTGTCATATGCCAGGCCTCTCACTCCAGAGCAGGCTTCAGTCTGCATTCTTCATTTGGAGAGACACTCTCACAAAGTTCAGTATCTCGCCAGTCACTCAGCTAGCACACAGCAGAGCTGTGTCTGAGGCAACAGCCTGCCTGTCCTCTGAAGACTGGCTATGAGAAGACAGCCACTCCTGAGTTTATACCTCTTATAGCTGGGACTTCTGGGATAGTCTTCCAGCCCCATTTCTGCCAGGAAGTCCTCAACTCCCTCGGACCTGATTACAGAGATGACTCATGCCTTTAGCTGTTGTGTGATAGCCCATTTATTCAGCCAGGCATGCAGATTTGTTTTTAGTTCTTGCTCCTGGAAACACGGCTTGCCTAGGAATCACAAGGTCCTGGGTTCAAACCCCATTACTACCAAACAAACAAGTAAAAAACCCCCCAAAACCTCCAAGGCTATGAGGAACATCCTCACATGGCTCTGTGCACATGTGCAAGTGTCTGTCTGGGGTGTGCTGGCCAGGGCATGGGTTATGCACAGTAGCCAGGGCAACTGCATTGATTTTTAGTGCCTTTGCTTGCCAAACCCAGGAAGTATTCTCAGGAAGGAAATCCACAAGAAAACTGAGGAATGATGAGAGCTTAAGAGCGATTATGGTCTAGTTGGGGGTTAGATCATGTGGAACCACAGGTGTGGTTAGGACTTGAAGTGACCACAGCAGTTGGCACTGAGTGGTTCCTCCATCCTGAGTGACTCCCTCCATGTTGCTGCAGTCTCTGTGGACCTTTCTCTACTGCTTCATCTTTCTCAACAAGTCTGTCTTAGCACTGGACTGTGGCACTTTTTTTTTCTGTTTTTGAAATGCTGGGGATGGAACCCAGGGCTTTGTGCATGCTAGGCAAGCTTACTCCCAAGAGCTTTATCCCAAGACCCTGTGAAGCTCTTATTCTAAACCAGAGAGATTGTGAACTCTGTCCAGAGATTAAGTTCCATATTACTTTGACTATGGGCTTTTTAAAACTGCAAAATACTTCTTGGAAGTATTTTTTTTTAATCATGAAACGTTGGATTTTTTTTTTTGAGGTACTGGGATTTGAACTCGGAGCCTACACCTTGAACCACTCCAGACCTTTTTTGTGATTTTTTTTTTTTGAGATAAGTTCTTGTGAACTATTTGCCCAGACTGGCCTCAAACCAAGATCCTCCTTACTCTGCCTCCTGAGTAGCTAGGATTACAGGTGTGAGCCACCAGCATGTTGGTGGGCATAATTACTGCCTATTTTTCAAGCTGAACTATAACATATACCTATAAAAGTGAACATTCACATCAATTATGAAGTGAGTGCTTATGCAGTCCCCTCTCAGATCAAGGTACAGCATACAGCCGACACCCTGATGTCACAGTCCTGTCCCTGTCTCCGTCTTCCCCCATCACAGTTTCTCCCTTTCAGGTGAAGCCTGGGAATGCATAATGGGATTGTCATAACCTGGTATACTCATGTGTGCATCTCTAAACAATTGGTCTTAATTTTGCCCTTGTAGACTGGGTCTAAGTGGACCAAGTCTTCTTTGTGTTTTGCTTCTTTAGCGCAGTGTCTGTGTTGGTCAGTTTCAGTCCTTCTTGTTATGTATAGTATATTCCTTTTGCATGGATCTGGAACAGCAGTGAAGAGACTTGGGACTTAATGCTCTCTTAAGATTTAAAGTCTTTCTGAGTACTTTTCTTTTTCTTTCTTTCTGAGCCAGGCTCTCACCACCTTGCCCAGGCTGGGCCCAACCTCCTGGGCTTAAGTGATCCTCCTCCTTCACTTTCCCGTGCAGCTGGGACCACAGGCGCCACTGCCACCGCACTTATTTAAATATGTGCCAATGCTTTATTTAATTAATTTTTGAGACAGGGTCTACTGTAGAGCCCAGACTGGCCTTGAATGCCTCTGTCTCCAGGTGTTGTGGTGATTAGGGTATGAGGCAGTGTGCCCGACTGCCAGTGATTTTCTTTAATTAGTTAATGGTATGAACAGTTAGGTGTTACCACTGCTTCAAATTTCTGAGTATTTAAATGCTTTTTTTCCTGACATTACTGAAGTATGACAAAGCTGGCTGCACTTGGGTGCTGGAACTTGGATTGTTTCAAGGCAACTTTGCTGCTTTAAGATTTAAAACAGATGAATCACCTTGGCACTTGTGCTGCAATTTGCCATTTCTGAGGGGAGAGGCAGTGCAATTCTTTTGATGGCAACAAGGTGAAGAGAAATTTCTTGATCCTAGTGCAGAATAAAAGGGCAGGCCATTGACTGCCTTCAGAAAGGAGCCCTGCCCATCTCCCTGTGCCTTTGAATTCCTGTGAAGTTGGCAGAGGGGGTGGGGAGGAAGCGGCAAGCCACCAGAAATGAAAAGCCAGGAGTCTGTGCTATTTCCTTGATGTGATGAAGGTCCCTGTCAGGGATTTAGAAACCTGAGCCAGCAGATGAAACCTGTGTCATTTGTGTTGTCGTTGCCAGAGATAGCGCCAGCTCAGCCCCTGCCCTGCTAACAGCCGGCCTCATTGTCCCTCACCACATCCCCTGCCTGCTTGTCAGCACAGAGCCCCTTCTAAACAAATGTGGGGCCACTGAGAGACGGGAATGCCTTCCTGCCCCTCAAGGAATTTCATGTCACAGTCATCTGACAGTAAATGTAAGAAGGCATTCCATCTGAAGAATTTATCTCTGTGGGATATAAAGAGTTGATTAAAGTTCACTTAAAAGTACAGAATTTTCCACATTGGTTGCAAACTTCTGAAACATTCGTTTGGAAAATTTTTGTCTTGATTTTCAGGAACTGAGAATTTGGTAAGATGCAATGTGTTCTGTCCCTTGGGGCTGTTCCAGAACTTCCATTTATAGGCTATCAGATGGAATGAAGGTAGACTAAAACGTGTAATTTTACTATCTGGGAGTCTGTCCTGATTGGGTTTCTGGGGAAGAGAATGCAACCAAGCCAATGATAAGATAATGGCCACATCTAAACGTGGGAAGTGTTGAGAGTGCCTGACACCCTGGCTGTGTGGCTTTGTGCCGCTGGAATATTTCCCTATCAAAATAGAAGGCACCAAAGCCATCCAGGACTGCTGCTTCCTCACCTGTAAGATGCACAGTTCCTCACTTACTCTTCAGATTAGGGGTTCTCAACTGTGGCCATACTTGGGGATCTTCAGGGGAGCTTCAGTTATTGATGATGGAAATCGAATCCCTGAGATTGGGGGCCAGACCATGGGTGCAGCCAGGGCATGAGATATTGTGGGCATCCTGAGGCGAGTGCAGGTGTGGAGTCCAGGAGAGGTGTGTAGATGTGGTCCAAGCTCAGCACCACTGTTGTCCTTCACCAGGACCCACTTGTGCTGTCACTCACTCTTGCTTTTTTAAGTTTACTGTGATTTTGTGCACAGAAAATAGATCCATTGTTGGGTGGGTTATCATAAAATGAAACCAGCACCCAGTCAGAAAGATAGTGTCACCAGTACCCATTTAACCTAGTGTCCACACCTTGTCACTGAGCTTCCCTCCCCATGCATGGTGCAGTTAGCCTGCTTTTGAACTTTGCACGCAGTTGTGTTTTCTGGGCTTGGCTTTCCCTGCAATGTCATGCTTGTAAGATTGGTAACCCACTAGCCTTTTTTATTGCTGTGTGGTAGTCCATGGTATGTGCATGCCTTATCGATAGGCACTGGAGTACTCCCAGTATTGCCATGACCATTCCTGTCTTGTGCCACATAACATACACATATACGCATGCTGCTGGGTACGTACCAAAGAACTGAAGTGCAGCGTCATAGGTCATAGGTATACATTTGTTCAACTTCAGCCATCACACTATGCTGGTCTACAGTATTTGTGCACATGTACTCCCCCCAGCAGTGTGTAAACTTTCATTTGCTCTACATTCTCATAGCCAGCTTGTAGCACAGAAGACTGGGATTGTTGTCTAAGACTCACAATTTTAGATCTGTGCTGCAGCTTGAGTTTCCAGTGACCTCAAGCCACTCCACCAGCCCTTTTTTGTGATTTTTTTTTTCAAGATAGGGTCTTGGGAACTGTTTGCCTGGACTGGTTTTGAACTGTAATCCTCCTGATCTCTGCCTCCTGAATAGCTAGGATTACAGGTGTGAGCCACCAGCTCACCCTTTTTTGTTTTTAACTTTGGTTGTGGAAAATTTCAAATGCACAAAAGTCATCAGGTGGCACCAGCTTCAACTCACAGTTGATCTTAATTTATAAGTAGCTCTTTCCCATCATTCCCCTTTAAGATTATTTTGGTGGTACTGGGATTTGAACTCAGGGCCTCACATTTGCTAGGCAAATGTTCTCTACCATTTGAGCCACAACCCCCTCTAAGATTATTTTAAAGCAAATCACAGATATTTGACACATACATATTTCAGTATATAT